AAAAAAAAAAAAAAAAATTACATGCTCTAGGGCTGGCCAGATAGCTCAGCGGATTAAAGCACCTGCTTAGGCAGATGCAGGGCCCAGGGGTTGTTCCCCGGCCTGCCTTGTGTTGGCACCTGGCCCCGCCCCTGAGTTACGACTGAGACTGGGCGTGGTGACATGTGCCTGTAATCCCAGCACTTGGGAGGCTGAAAAAGAGGAAGGATCACTGCAAGTCCAAAAAATAACATGCTCTAAATGTGTGTAATTTATAGTATTATACATCATACTTCTTAAAGTCAGATGCACTTTTTCTATTGAAAGATAGTAATTAAGCTAAGACTTTTTCCACAAATTTTTATTCTTTATTATTTTGTATAAGTTATCTGCACAAAAATTTCGAAGTACTTAACTGGGTCACTGGTAAACTAAACCAAATACATTTTATTTTAAACAGTCAAGTGAGAGGCTAGGGAGATAGTTCAATGACATAAGAGCCTGCCTGGCAAGCTGCAAGGTCCTGAGTTCAATCCCTGATACTGCAAAAAAATAAAATAAAACTTCAAGGAACAGGGTCTCAACAAAGGTAAACACAGATGATAAAATAACCATTAATATCATTAATGTGGGAGAAAATCATGCAGTCTATACAAAAAATAACCAGAGTTAGATTTTAAAATCATGATAGTTTTCCTTAATATTACTAAGTCAGACTTTTGAACTCTAGCCACAGAATTTCCCAAATCAGTATATTTGGTAGGTTGTTGGTTCTGCTTTTTGTTTGTTTTGTTGTTGTTTTGAGACAGGGTCTTACCATGTACCCTAGGCTGACCTCAAATTCTTGGTGATCCTCTTACCCAAGACTCCGAATAGAGGTGTTATGGGCATGTACTACAATACCTAGCTATCTAATGTTTTAAAGTAATTTCTCTTTATTTGTGGTTTTGTTTTCCTTGGTTTGAGTTACGCATAGCCAACACAGTCCAAATGAAAATTTTCAAAAATAAACAATCCATAGATGTTAA